ATTCTATAAATAGTATAATATAAATTCTATAATTCTGTAAATAGTATAATAGTATAAATTCTACAAATTTTATAAATAGTATAATAATATAAATTCTATAATTCTATAAATAGTATAATAGTATAAATCCTATAAATAGTATAATAGTATAAATTCTATAAATTTCATAAATAGTACGATAATATATATAGTATAAATATATATAATATAAATATTTATATATATAATATAAATTCTATAATTCTATAAATAGTATAATAGTATAAATTCTACAAATTTTATAAATAGTATAATAGTATAAATTGTACAAATTTTATAAATAGTATAATAATATAAATTCTATAATTCTATAAATAGTGTAATAGTATAAATTCTACAAATTTTGTAAATAGTATAATAATATAAATTCTATAATTCTATAAATAGTATAATAGTATAAATTCTACAAATTTTATAAATAGCATAATAATATAAATTCTATAATTCTATAAACAGTGTAATAGTATAAATTCTACAAATTTTATAATAGTATAAATTCTATAAATTCCATAAATAATATAATAATATAAATTCTACAATTCTATAAATAGTATAATAACAAGCATTTAGTAATATTTTCTATAAATAAGTATTTTTTTTTTTTTTCTTTTCATAACCAAGTATTTTCATATTCTGTTCAAACGACGTTGAAATTCCACAGTCAGACAGACTAGTTGCCCCGTACGCAGTTTCCCCGAAACGATATACAGCAAATAAGTAGGTAAGACAACGTATCATTCAGTTCAATTATCTTTGTAACTTGAATGACATCGAAGCTTCTGTTGCAGGCGCTCGCTCGCTCGCGTGCGCGCGCGCGCGCGCACGATGACGAAAATAGAAGCCGGCCTCTAATCGAAATCGATTTGTTCTCTGCCGGCAAATATTTGTCGTAAATATTTTCTGGATGCTCGAACGATACGTCGAACGTTGTATCGACGCTGCTCTTATTAGCTCTGTTTGCTTTAATCCGCTCGTATTTGTCGCAACCCTCTTTCGCCCCTCGCTGCTTCCGGGCTTTCGAGGAACTCACCCTCGAGCTCACTGGCCCGTGTCTCGAGCCACTGTTAATTCTCTCGATTAATTATTTTCTTGTTGTAGAGTAATAATAAATCTGTTTGCCGTGGCATATGCATTGTGATTTTATCGGCAAGTGCAGCCGAAAGTTTCGTAGTGTATTTCAATCGTGATTGTCGTGCTACTAGGTTCTTCCGGCCCATTTATACCTCTCTGAAATTGAAAAATGTGTTCAACATTGAGCGCGAATGTATGAAAAAATTTTTACTAGCTGTTATATCGCGATTCGCGATATGAAACGTCTTCCTGGAATGTTACTGTAACTCTCTCTGAAATTAAAAAGTGTTTCAAGTGTTGGAGGTATGAAAAAATTCTCATTGCTCGTTATTAATTCTCGCGATTTCTTAATTAAGCATCTTCTCGGAACGTTACTTATCTTCTTGAGATATTTTTCTTGCTGAAATGACAATGAATGCGAGGTTGGAGGATCGCAGCAGGATTAAGAAAGCATGGATTATTGTACGACAGTGACGATTCACATTAGTTTAGAAGTTATATATAATATAGAATCGTATAATTATTTCGAATTTTGGGAAATAGTAGTTCACGTAAATTGTAGAAACATACAAATTGTAATCTCTAAGGGAGCAGTATTTCCACACATCGCCGTTCAATTCAGAATGTTACAGAGATACTCTTTAACCAATTATTCATTTATTTTTGAAACAGTAAGGAATAACTATAGCCCGTGTCTAAAATTTGAAAAATTTATAAAAGAAATATATAAGTTTGAAACGTTTATAAAAGAAATATAGAAATATATAAGTTTAAAAAGTTTATAAAAGAAATAGAAGTTTGAGAAGTTTATAAAAGAAATATAGAAATATATAAGTTTGAAAAGTTTATAAAAGAAACAGAAATTTGAAAAGTTTATAAAAGAAATATAGAAATATATAAGTTTGAAAAGTTTATAAAAGAAATATAGTAAAAATACACTTTTGCTATATTTCTATTTCATTTGGCTATAATATACATAACATATATTTTTGTACATATATTATAATGTTGTTGTACTCTATGTTATATGTACATTTACTATAATGAAATAGAAATATAGTAAAAGTGTAACTTTTCAAACTTGAATATATATAGATAGACAAAAATATAAGAGCGTTAGACAAAAATACAAACACGCTTAAGTTTAAATATTTCATATACATATACATTTTTATATATTCCTACGCATATATAATGAACGGATCTCTAACGCAGCAGAAATCTAAAAAAAAAATTTGTGTCATCGCGTAATTACGTGATGATGATAGTTCGTTAAAAACCTGAGGATCTCCACTCTCTTCAATAATTGCATTTACATTTGAACCGACGAAATGCTCGAAACGTATTTAATGTGTGATACTCTGACGAGAATCTCTCCTCTCTCTCTCTCTCTCTCTCTTTGCACCGAAGGAACGCGCGCATGTATATATATATATATTAAAAAGAAGAAGACCACTTGCCGTCTAGCAAGAGGTCTATGAATAAAACATATCGTTTCCTCCATCTTTTAAAGCGGCGGAGGACGCGTGTCCCGTGCAATATCGCGTAATACCGGCGAGTAACAGGTCGACGAGCGGCAGCGGGCGTTTAATTTAGATAAAAGACACTCGGGACGCGAATTAATGGCGAGCTATTAATCTATCGATCCGCCGTGTCTCGTCGTGCAACGTCGGAATACCGATGACGATAGAATTCCCCGATCGTGGGGGAAATCAGGCTCGATCCGATCGCGATTCATTTCGCTGTTCGCGGTTCGATCGAACGTCTGGTCTGTTGTTCGAGTCTGTAATAGTCAGAAGGGTAATCTTTCGTTTGACTAACTATAAGTTGGAAATTCGTACAATTAGAAGAGCAGAATTTATTTTTATACAATTAAATTATTTTTTAAGATGTATATATATATATTTAAGTAATTGTGTACTTTGTAACTGTAACGTTTGTCTGGTGTTGAATAAAATAATAGTTGGAGAGTTTGACAGAGAGTTTAGGCCAGAAGAAGTTTCGAAAAGGCAGCATTGAAAGAAAATTATTGTTGGAAGGTTTGGTATAGGGTATTTTTGTTATTAAATTAAATTAGAAGTTTGTAATTGGATTGATTAAATCTCTTAAATTTTATTTAGCATTGAAAGATTTGCTGGTCAGACTCGGTTAGATGTTGCAATTTGGAAAAATGGAATTTACTCTTGAGGCTGATTGATTGGTTCGTATAGAATAATTATATATAGCCTTGGAAATCTCTCTCCAGTGATAGAACGATGTTGCACAAGACAAGAACCAAGAAGGTGATCTATAAATTAGATTAAGCGGAATGGTAAATTTGCCTAATAACAGGAGTGGAATTCATCGTTGGCTGATTGCACAGACTTCAGAATATTGTCTTTGAAATTTCTCTGTGTTATTGAATAATATCCTCAGTCAAAGAACCCTGGTAGTTGAGGTCAGGTTAGGTCGGAAGTTTGCATAATTAGAAGAGTGGAATTCATTGTTCAGTGATTGGACACAGAGTTGGTTCGCAGAGTTGTCTTTGAAATCTCTATCTTACAGTTGGTATTGAATAATATTCCAGTCAAAGAAGTTGACTGGTTTGTAGGTTTAGTTAGCTCTTGGGGGAGTTCGCGCAATTAGAAAAGTGGAATTTATCATTGGCCGGCGCGGGTCAGTTGAAATGAACAATAAAGATCCGATTACTCCGTTTATTTGTGCATCACTTCCTACTGAAATTTCTCATTTCAGCCGAGCTCGTTCTTATCGTTGAATGGGTTATTTTAGAAACTCCTCGCGTATTCGGTTACGGTAAATTAGCTGGTGTGTTTTAACTACCACGTTGTTTAACGTTTAATCGAGAAATTAAAATCAATAAACGTAGCAAACGAATAATAATAATATATATATATAAATATTTAATAACAAACGAATAATAATATATATATGTATATAAATGTGTACAAATGAATAATTTACATGTGACAATATTTAATGATATGAATACGTAATAATTTATTTATATATAAATATAATAAAATATAACGTTTATTTAACAATATAAAGATTATTTTTAAGTGGAATAAAAGTCTGCAATTCTGATAATAACGATACTTTGTTTTAAATACTTAATATTCAATTTACTTAAAGAAATTTAAATATTAACAAGTTGCGCTGGCAATTGATTGCGGACCATAACGAGTGACCAAGCCGTGTACAATAATTCATCGGCTTTTCTCTTGAACTCGTCGGTATGATGTCACCGATGAGGATAGGATTTATTGAGAAGTAATAAATTTATTATTTGTTTCTGCCTATTTTGTTTTACTTAAAATATGCTCGAAACAGAGAAAATATTACAAATTTTTTGGGACAAAAAATTCTCGACGTGCGTCATTCCAACGTCAGAGATTAATTTCATGAAGATCAATTATTTTCCAAGAAATAAACCAACATATAGAAAATGGATCATTGTGCACAGAAAAATGGACTTATCGTCTACCAAAAGGTATCCACATGCCAGAAATTAATTGAAAGAAATACAAAAAGATCCGAGATCTTCTCGGTTGATACGGCGTGTATATATTCTCACGTGTTCTCACAACCGAGCAACAGTCACGTAAACACGAAACGCAAACGTAAATTACTGCCAATTAACAAACCAGTGCTCGATCTTTATCCCTGAATTCCTCGTCGAAACTCGCCGACGAATGAAAAACCCCACCGACGTTTTGTTTTATCTCCAAAGCGGTTAACTCTCGTTCCGACTTATCCACGTTTAGCCAAAATTGTTCTCTCCCCCCCCCCCTTCCATCCTCCTCCCTTTTCCCCGACGAACTATGCTATAATGATCGCCGACGAACGCAATCGCTGACCGTGATCGTTTCTCTCTCTCTTTCTGTTCGCAGGGCGCTATTTTGACGACCATGTTGGCGACGAGGAACTTTTCCAGTAAGTATGATGCACAGGGTAAGTACCTCCGGCCCTCTTCAGCGCTTCATGGACCGCGACAGACAGTACTTTTATATCTCCCATTAAATTTTTACGCCCAGAAAACCCTAACCCGACCTCTTGTCGTCTGTCTCTTTCTCTTTTTTCTTCCGCCCCCCCCCCCGTCCCCTCGAACGACTCTTTACGTCTCTCTGTTCGTCTCTCTGTTCTCCAACCCCTTCGAAACAACCCTTGGTTAATATTTCTCTCTCTTGGCACCTATATTCGTTCTCTGTCTATACGTAATTCTATCTATCTATCTATCTATCTCTATCTCTCTCTCTTTCTCTTTCGCTCTTTATCGCTCTGTTTATATTTCAGACTTCATTCACCTCCATGAAAATCCACTTCGTCTCTCTCTATATCTCTCTGTTCATTTTCCATTTTTATTCTTGTTATAACGTCTCTCTCTGTCTCTCTCTCTTTTTTTCTTCCCATAATTCTGTATGTACATATATATATATATATATATATATATATATATATATATATATATATATATATATATATATATATATATATATATAT